CCAGCGCCCCACTCGTAAGGAATACATAACGGCGACGCTAGCAACTTTGTTACTTAGGTTGGAATAAATTGAGACCCCCCCTAAATGAAAAAAAAATCACTGCCTGTACGGATGCAGAGGGGCCCCGCCCTTTTTCCGGCTTCCTTGAAGCCGACACCCAACTTGTCCTTCCCCCGACCCTTTCACTCGTTCGTGGTTCGTCTTTTCCCCGACCCTTTCTCCCGCCATGTGTTCCCCCTTGATGGGCTGACCTAACTCCTTTAAACCCTTCTGCGTGATCGCATTTCGAATTCATGACGCAATCCTTTTACTTCTTAACCCCTGTACCCTTGTACCTTTGTAAGTTCTGTTTCTGTATGTACGTTTGGCCCTTTTTCCCCCCCCTCAAAAATTACATACCCAAATCGTAATATACCGTATTGGACTACTCCACTGAAGCATGACCCACTTCACTGCTGATCTTCATATGAGTTTGCCAAGAAGCCTCACACTCTGTAACAATTCAAAATCCAAATATGAGTTTGCATATGTCCCGTTGCGGTCCGTTAGATCGTCCATTCGACGGTTTTCGCCGGTTGCCATTGTTCGTTTTTCGGTTGTTGGTTGACTCCCACGTCGGTCGCATGTACGGCATGCAGCGGTGGTCGACGGCGAGATTACCAAGATCAGCCTGGCTGACTACCGCGGAAAGTACGTCTGCCTGTTCTTCTATCCCAAGGTAACGTTGTACGACATCCATAATACGTAATTGTACGGATAGAAAGTACGGCAGTGGCAGTCTCGCCACGCGTACACGCCGCGTGTACGCATGCATGCTGCCGGCGTGGATGATTAATTTCACAATATGTGGTTCTCGGAAGGCCTTATGGTTTCTCGGTGGAAATTTTCTTAGGTCACAGTTTCGTTGTTGTCGCAAAGCCTTAGGTTGCTGGTCATCAAATTATAATTGAATGTGGATCGGGAATGATCCTAATGATCCTGAAATGAAGATCTGGGTAAAAAATGCTTGACGTTTAATCACGCTTAAATGTTTTTCAGCCATCTAGTGAACAATCTCTGTCTTCATACGAGCCATAGGCTGCCAACAACTTGAACAGATGTGAGCCACAGGTGTGGTAAGGGAAAGGAAGCCATGTCGCTGTGTGCGATTGACGTTACGTGGCGGCGGCATATGTAGGCGCGCATGCTAGGAGGAGGTGGAAAGGGCCATTCTGAGGAGAACGGCATCATACTCTGCGTGTCACCCCAATGTTTTAACACTATTTATTTATAAGTCGTCATAGGCCCATAGGACTGGAAAAGGGCTGGCCACTAACCCACCTATCGACCCACATCCACACTAGGACAGGGACACCTCCACACGCACAGGGTTTCTGTTCTGGTGTTTCTGCAGTACATATGCCCCAACCCCTCCCCCTCTCCTCCCCTCCTCTCGCCCCCCCCTCCACCGGCCCCCTAGGACTTCACGTTTGTGTGCCCGACGGAGATCATCGCATTCTCGGACCGCGCCAAGGTGCGAGAGCCAGATACGGCATTGTACGACACGATGCAATACGATACGGCCCGACCTGACTCAAGTCCGGGTGTGATATGTGTGTGTGGCGGGGGGCGCTAGTGTTGCTGGGGGGCGGGGGGCGCTGAGTTGCCGACTTTAAGAAGCATTGTACACCGGACAACGCCGTGTAGGATCTCAATGACCGTTAGACTGCACGTCAACGTCAACGTCCTCTCCTGCTCCTCTTCCCCCCCAACCCATGACGCCTTTCGGGCAGTTCTGCTTCTTGTACACCCTTTCCTTGTGGCAGCAGCTTCACTCGGGTTCGTGGTTCGTCTTTCCCCCCCACCCCCCCACCCCACCCACACAAGCCTCGGCTTACGCTGTTTTACGGATTCAGGAGTTCGAGGCCCTTAACTGTCAGCTCATCGCAGCATCAACCGACACCGAGGAGTGCCACCTGGCCTGGATCAGGTACGGAGCCGGCGGTTAGAGACGGTTGGTAGTTGTACGGGTGCATCTTGTTGGTAACTTTCAGTTGGTGTTGTTGTAAGGATGTGGACCCTGCCCGAGGGAGTTTTTTTTTCTCTTTGTGTCGCTCTCTTTTAGGTTAATAAAGATTTTGATTAAAATGCTCTGAAACCATCCCCCAACCGTCATGGACCAACCGTCAACTGTTGCAGGAACCCCCGTAATCGTGGAGGCCTGGGTTTCATGCAGATTCCTATCCTGGCTGACACCACCAAGGCCATCTCTGCACGCTACGGCGTGCTCATCGAACAGCTCGGTATCGCCCTTCGCGGGCTGTTCATTATTAACCCCCAGGGCGTCGTACAACACGTGACCATCAACGACCTTCCCAGTTGGGTAATTGGGTGGTTGGGCTGTTGGGTGGTTAGGCAGTTGGGTGTTTCAAATGGTTGGACAGCTGGGTAGTTGGGCAGTTCGGTGGTTTAGTGGGAAAGGGGTAGATGAGGGGAGAGACAGAGGCTTAGGGGATGTTCGTGGCGATGTATGTATGTTGATATGTCTGTTGGCGGAGGAGTGAGGATGGTATGTGTGTGGGTGTTGTCGTGGTTGTTGTGTATGTTTATGCGTCTGCCGCTTGGGTTTCAGGATGAGGGGATCTCACCCGTGCGCATCTATGTTCCCTTCTTTTCTCCCTCTCCTCGTCCCTCCCCTCACCTCCCCTCGTTCCCTACCCCGCTTGGCCCGGCCCCCCAGTCGGCAGGTCGGTGGATGAGGCCCTCCGCACGCTGCAGGCCATCCAGTTCCACGCTCAGCACGGCGAGGTGTGTGTGTGGCGGCCGGGGAGGGATTGTGCACCTTGGGTCTCATGGTCGTTGGTGAAGTCGGGGGACTTCGATTGTGGGTGGTTGGGGTAGGGGGAGGGGGAGGGGGGTGGGATGAGGGAGGGGGGTCGCGTCGAGGGAAGGAGGATGGGCTTACGTGGTGATGGTGTGCTCGTGTGTGCTCGCATCAACGCGCGCGCGTGTGTGTGTGTGTGTGTGTGTGTGTGTGTGTGTGTGTGTGTGTGTGTGTATATGGGGGGGTTGTTACTCGTGAAGTCTTTTTTCTTCTTTGTTACTTTGGCTCCTGTGAGGCTTTTCATTCTCCTCCTGCTCCGTTGATTTGGATGTAGTACAATTCGTACCAGCGACATAAGTTTGCTCATGATTGTTTTAATGCAATCATATTTTTTTGACTCGAAGTTCCCTTCTTTTGGAAATGTTGGAATCAACCCGAGCTATATCCGGAACGTTTTTTTGGTGTTTTTATCTCTTTTTGTAGACCAAAATTTCTATTTCCTGTCGATTTTTCTGATCTGGTCTCTTCTGTGTATTTCTGTGTGCGTGTGTGTTTCCGTGCCAGGTATGCCCTGCCAACTGGAAGCCAGGCTCCAAGACCATGGTGGCGGATACGGAAAAGTCGTTGGAGTACTTCAGCTCCGTTACGGAGGTACGGCAAAGTACGACAGTACAAGTTTGGTTGCGGCCTCTTATTGAGAGTGAATGTTTTGTGAATATGTTTTTTGAATCACACGTGCAGGGATGTGTCTGCTACAAACATGCTCTGTTGTGCCGCCTCTCTATAATAAATTAATAAAATTGAGAGTTAATGAGAGATTAATAAAAGATCAATAAAAATTTATGCTCGTCGCAAATGCCCTGCGATGAATTGTGCAAGCGAATGCTTTTGCTTTATTATATTACTGTCGGATCTTCCTGGTTAACTGTTTTCAAATCAGCAGCGGTTAATTGGTTGGTTGGTTGGTTGGTTCGCAGGATGAAACTGTGTTCGGCACCAAGCTCAAGGTTATTGGCAGCCGGAAGGAGTACGAGCAGCTGACGTCATCGCCGGGTGCCGTCGTCGTGGACTTTTACGCTCCGTAAGTTGCGGAGTGGGGAGTGCGGAGTGGTGGTAGTGAGAGTGTGGGGTGGGTAGGGAGTGTGGGGTGGGGTGGGGTGGGGTAGGGTGGGAGTGTGGGGTGGGGTGGGGTGGGGTGGACCAGTTTTGGTGACAGACGGTTATTAATCTTGACGGCGGCGGGTCAGTACTTTCATCTGGTTGTTGTGTGGGGGATGACCCCCCCCGGCGCTTCCCGGCCGCTGTTCCAACCCCACCCCCCTCGTCCTTCCCTCTAAGTACATATGACCTGTCCTGTCCTGCCCTGCCTGCTGCACATTCCTTTTTTTCCTTGTTCCACACAACCTCCCTTTCATTTCACTCCCCAACTTCCAACTCCCAACTTCCCAACTCCCAACTTCCGGTCGTTTGCCCGCTCGTCCAAACCGTTTCTGTTATCAGTTGGTGTGGCAAGTGCCGGCAGATGGGCCCTTTCCTGGACGGCCTCGTGGACAAATACCCTGGGGTGGTGAGTCTGCGTGTGTGTATGTATGTGTGTATGGGGGGGGAGTGTTTATTTTGGTTCGGGGGTGTAGTGGTGGGGGAGAGGAGCTTAGAGGACCTTCGTACAGGCCACGCCCCGCAAAAACAAACCCGCACATATATGATTGTAAAAGCGCAATAATGGAACTAAGAGCTGGTACAGGCGGTGAGGAAGCTAACGTTTTTCTTTTTTAAATGGAGGTCATAGGCAAGGAATACTATATTTAATAAATTACTACAAGCTACTTATCCAAAATAGTGTTATCCTCTTACCAAATTCGTTCACTCGTCATTCTTCCATCATCGTCGCCGTACCCATCCTCCTCCTCCTCATACATGGGTTCTTCACTTCCCTCCCCGCCCAACACTTTCCAACCCCCACACGGTGTATTTCATACTCACTGTTGATGGTTTCGTCTCTCCAGACGTTTGCCAAGTACGACACCACAGCTCCAGAGCTGGAGTCCCTGGCGGGGGAGCTGGGAGTCA